TTATGTAACTCATGCATGAAAAACACTACTTTTCGTGCCTCCGAAGTGTGGCGAAAGTGGCGCTTTATAACTATGGATACGATAAAAATGCTGCGCATTCGCAAATCGGCCCAATTTTACATTATCTCACTTGTGCTTTCTTCTCGCACTAGTGCGATAAAGTAAACTTTGTTCTCGCGCGCTGTTATGAAATACATTCACTTTGGAAGCCTTCCTTGCTCTTCTCATGGCTGCCTCCTCCAACGAAGAGATGTTCACTTTGGCTTCTGCTCGTGCCGTTGTGTTACTAATAAAGCTATCGTCAGCAAAGCTATGAATTTTTTTCCGTCCTTACTTCAATGGACCATATATTGGAGCTAGTCGCTGGCACACCAAGTTTTTTGTAGAGAAACATGTACGTCTATTAAGCATCTACCTAGGAGATTGTAATGTACGGGAAAGGTCTTAAGAAACCTGCGAACAAATCGGCTCCCTTGACCACAACCAAAAGCCTTTATTTCCTCCGATTTATCATTGACGGAGACCGTGTGTGCTTGAGCCTCGAATTCAACGACTGACTCGTTCGCACGCTCTTACATTTGTCGTGCCCTCTCGCCGGGCCGTGCCTCACACATACCAGTACACCACAGGATTTTTGCTTGGCTAATTTATTGGATTTGATTTAATATTTTTGCTTGGTATTTTTTTAGCAAGGATTTATTTTTTATAAATGGCTACACTTTTAATACTTGGCGTAACCGTTTTGTTTTGAAAAAACATTTTTGGTGTTATCATATTGTAACCGCCTGAGGAACTTGATATCTAGGATATTGATACATATCTGGAACGACTAAGGTGGTGATACTGCTAGTTCATATAACGTACATGCACGCGTACTGGGTCACTGATCCCCTAGCACGACTCCTGTATGGGCTTCAAGTTCCCCGAACCACTGAGGAGACAGATGATAGTATAAAGTACAAAGTATAATATTCCTTCTACGTGAACTTTGATCCTCTGATTATCATTAAAGGCGCTTCTAACGAATGATCTGGAGTCGAGTCGTCGTCGAATAAAACTGTTCATTTAAGATTTTACATAAATACAATTTTAAGTTGCCCTAGGATTACGTAATGAATGCCGTCGTTAACAAAAATACCATGAACATGGCATATTGATCTTCATAGGAAATTGAATTCATCATCTATTAACAACGAAGTCTCACGAACAGCTTTTCATTCCACAACTATTAATAATTACCTGTGTGTTTGGGGAAACGTCTTGTGTAGCCAAAATGAGACATGTAGCACAAGCTTGTTCGGGAGATTGTGTTCGAAAGTAAGCACGTACAGGTTCAGTATCAGGACCTCGTTGTTCCAAAAGTAGTTGATGTAAAATATCTACAGGACGTACTTGTTCCAACTTTATGACTCCCTGAAACAATTACCACCACGCAAAAATGTATTATAATTATTAATCAATAAAACACTAGTAAATAAGGTTGTTTATAAATTTATCGAAAACTAACTCTATAAATTGTCATAAGCAGTACCTGTGCAGTAAGGTATATGAACTTCCTCGGTGGTTCCATATGTTGTCTAACGAGTAATGGTGGTTCACCTTGTGAGATACTTTGTTTTTCTACATGAACGGATGATTCAATTGAAATCTCTGCCATGGCCCATACTGGACTATCAAGTGGTAAAATACTCTGTGATTCAGCCAAATAAGTTACAAATGGATAAGCGTCATTGCTAAGACACCATACAGTTTCCGTTTCACCTCCACAAACAAGAAATAATGTACCTGAAAAATATATATTACATCCTATTAAATATGACTGGCCCATTCTGTTGTGCTTGATGAGCTTTAATTGAGACTCTTAACTGAATTGAATCTATGAAAAACCTTCACAAAAAAAAAAGAAACTGCAAAAACTCGCGTACCCTTTCTGTAATGTGCCATTTGGACCTTTCTTGGTCTCATCACCGGAGCATTCGCTGCATATCCCGGTGGTAATCGTACGTGTATTAATTGAAGCGTTTGCGGTCGATTCGATAGACTTGTACCGGACGTACAACTTAAATAGAAACGTGTTCCAGTTGCTGCTACAGCAACTAAGTTCAAATGCACACATTCTGATTCCATTATTGCAGATATACTCACTAATGGTCTGAAATTATTGCTATCCAAAGTCCTATAAATCATAGAGATAACATCAAATTATATATTTTATACGATAGTATCATCACCAAACTTTTGTGCAAAAAATACAGGGTGATCACGTCTAACCGTATGTGGGTAGCAGAGTTGAATTCTTTATTCTGTTTTAACTCAGTTATTTATCATTTTTATATATTTTTTTATGCAGCATTAGTGATTCAAAGCATGTATTAAACTTCCTAAGACACCAATTACTATTTAAAAAAAATATTTACAAGACTTTCATTTTAGTCTAATTAATTATATAAATAATTAAATTTATAAAGTACAGTATTTTTACAGAGTAAATATAATTCTAACAAATCTATAACAATTATTAAACCGATAATTTGTATCAATAAATTAGTCGCTGATTACAAATCTGTGGTCAATTTCGAAAAATTCAAAATGACGGTTCCGACGACGGATCAAAATTATACAAAATTTATTTACATGACACTCGATACTAAAAGATTCACCTAAATCAATCAATTTTTTCAATGTTGAGTCGACATTTTGGGTCCGCCATTTTCAATTTTGAAATTAGACCAATTTTCGTAATTAGCAACCCCAAAAACCTCGGAATGGTAAACTCAAATTATTTTATAATTCTTATCCAAAACTCGTAATCAATTACCAAAAAACCCTAGAAAACTCTATTTCTATAAAATCTTACGTAAAAAAAATGTATACTACAATGTAAAACACACCGTCCACGGAACGCCTATTTAACTTCCGTCCACAGCACCGCATTACTCATACAACTCGACAGTGTCTCAAGTCTGAACGTGCCTCAACGTCTCAATCTGAGAGCCCGCCCAACTCAACTCCAGTAGACTAATAATCATAAACTCTAATGTTCATTATCTCGAAGCTTAGACCTAAGAAATAAAAAAAAAACGTTTAAAAATATGTTTTTAAATTTTTTTATGTAGAATCCTACCTCGTTTTATCCACATACGATTAGACATAAATACCCTATATGTATGTATTTGTAATCACATACTTCACGACATGAACTGCATTTTGTACAAGGGAGGATTGGGATATTGATGTGACTTTTGACGCAGTTTCATTATCAATATCCCACACCGTAATAGTGCCTTTATCGCCAAGAGTATATAATATATTTCGAGAATCATCTACTGAAATTTGTGCAATAGCTTCTTCTTCTACTAAAGCAACAGTCACAAATGACGGAACCAAAAATGATAAAGGTCCTTCGGAATGATTCACTTTCTTGCATCGTTTTCCAAACCAGCTGCTCTCGGCCTATAAAATAAAATGGAGTTTATATCGAGCATTGCAACTAAAATATTGAAGGATTTTAAAAATAATATAAATATCACAGGAAATAAATATTGTATCATACAATACGAACAAACTATAGTAATGTATTATAATTATACAATTATTTTACAAGAGATCGTTGTATTTTAGAAAATTAAATTAAATATAAATAAAATTTAAATTAAATTACTTAAGATTTAAAAGGAATAATATTAAAAATCGTTACACAAACATAGTACATACATGGCTGCAGGACACATAATTTTCGTTTCACTTTTTTTACCAGGCAGAAAGCATGTTCGGGTGAGTTGTGTGAGTGTAGAAATTTGTTAGGGAACGGCCTAATAAGAAGAAGGCCGTATTAAGGGTCATCCTCAGGTACGTTTTCTTAATGCAGTCTTTGATGATGCCCTGATTTGATTTATTAACGAGAATATTTGAATACAATCAAGAAATTTGATAAAATTTTATGCTGAAAACTTCTTTGCGTATGCTTGATCATCGAAGTTTTTTTCGACATATCATCATTTTTTAAATGTTATTCTGATCTGATAAAAATATTTTATTTTGTGAGATTTGAATTAAACGTGTGAATACTAAATATTAAATTAACGCCAGACGACTCTGTAAGGTTACGCGTGAAGACCAGTAGTTCGCTTCCGACCAACATTCTGTAAACATCAATTCTGAGTAAATTGTTATCTTTTATGGTAAACCTTCCGACTATTCCCTTACAATTTCACCTATTTTATTTAATCATTGAAATCGAATATCAAGCATAATTATAATTGCTTGCAATATTTGTAATAATTGTAGAAATTTTATATGGGTCCTAAACGGGTATAAGCTAGTTTTCCCAACTCCAATCTAGGCGCTAACTAGGAAAACTATCTACGTCATAGACAGTTTTCCAGGTAAATCACTTTCTACCCATGTGGACATGTATATACAATTGATACAAAAAATTGTTTAATTTGTTTTTATATTCATTAAATAAAAACATGAAATATGTAATGGACATAATGGCAAAATTTTATGTTAAGACAAAATTTAAAAAATAGGCGTGTATGTTCAGTATCTGGGCCGATGTGAGCGAGATTTGAGCTTGCGATTGTTAGGATGCTGAAATTGAAGTGTAACATTCTAGCAACTGAGTAACCACCAGCCCAATTTGTACATGCTGCTTCAATTAGAAATGATAGTTAACACTATTCATTTCATATTTGTATAAATATATGAATATTGTAAATTTTGCAGAGTTCCTCTGAAAATATGATTCTTATATTGCTTATAAGCCTTAATCAATATGTAATAGACTGAATATTACAAATATAATTTTACGGAGTATTTGCAAAGTATTTGTTAAGATTTAAAAGAAAATCTTGATTATCCATAATTATATTAAATGTTATATTAAAATGTTTTATATTATATTAAAAAAGCACTACGCCTGAGCATTGCCAGAACATTTACCAGTTTAGAACATACGTTGAACGTTGAAAGTTGGACTATTGATGAGGCCCTAGCAATAAACTGTCATTGTATCAAAGAACTGTCTGAACTGAACTTAGGTTATTACAGTGGAACATCTCATTTTTTATTAACCAGTCGGGATCGTGCTACCTCTTAAATATTAAGTTTCCCTTCTTCTTCAGAAAAGGCAACATTGAGCAAAGCCAGGCATGGGGTTTGGCACTTGATGGTCGTCTGTGAATTTGAAGACAAGGGTAGTGCATAACATGTGAAAACAATTCAGCGACTTTGGCACGCATTATCCTCACTTATACTATCACCTCTAAAGGTAGTTCTGCCGTCTACGTCAATTAAACTGTTGCATCTGAAGTTTTTATATATTAAAGTTTAACTATTCAGTTATATGTCAAGAAAATGTCAAGCCTGTTTACCGGTCATTTGAGAGAATAATTAAATGTTGAAAATCGACATTTTTACATGGAACCTTATGACTGGAACAATCAGTGGTATTTATTCGTTAATAATTTGTATACTGAGATCAAAGATAGCGAAAATATAAAAAGAATCTCGTGTCTGTTAGACGTTACGGATCGTGTTCGATAAAAAAAAGTACAGTTACCGGACATCTCAAAAGATAAATCACATTATCGAGACGATATTGAGTTGGGAAGGAGCGGTTCGCTTGGAATGGCGGCCTCGCTCTGAGCATCGCGCAAAAGCTTGGCAACAGTACTGTTACGTCCGACGCAACGCAACCCCATTTCCCCCCCCCCCCCCTTCAGCACCTCTCAGTACTCCCATTAGCAAAGGTCAGAGACCACAACAGATGTAACCGATCCTCGCCGAACATGCGTTAGTTATTATGAATCATAAGTCACATATATATATATATTAATAATTAAGGGATATCATCATATTATATTATACTGTACACGACATCTCATACTCTCACACATTTCCAGCAATCACACCAACACTGTGACATTGCAGGTGGATGAGCAGGAAGAAAGAGAGATCATGGCAAACAAAGAATAAGAACGGCACGAGCAGCAATGCTGAACAGGATACCTATAATCGAGGTGCCTAAGGAGCATTTTTACTATAGCACCGCGAATACCGCGCACAGCAAAACTCCTACCCGTCACCTTCGCACCCACCTCACCGCCAAGATAATCCTGACAATGCACTAACCCAAAGAAGAATCCGCGATCGAAGGCCTGTAATGAGAATTCGATCGAACGACAGGGTTCAGTCGCCCCGATCACGCCGTAACACGTATCCAAATTCCTCGAAATTTCCTAACATTGCATTCAGTCCCCTCCAGACTCAAAACCTTCCTTGCGAACTCGAATGCCGATCATCCTCAGTTACTAACCAATCCTCTGATAGAGCAGTATCTCTTTTGGAGTCTTGAGCCGATTGTCCGTGCCAGTTAAGTGTTGTGCCGATCGAATATCTTAGGGCCTATTTTGATCTAGCTTGCCTTAGGACCCAAGCGAAAAGTGTATCACTTCAGTGCCGGGCGTCCACGCGAAAAGAACTCATTTCTTGGCATTTTAATAAGCATTCGTCTAGGCGAGTGTCCACCTTAGGGCTGGACCAAGAATTTCCCGTTCAACCAAATCTATTTCACTATCGTCGAGAACCGAGCGCCGTCTCTCTCTCTTCCTCTGCTCATCCACCGGTAAGTAACTCACATTCCTACATCTTTATATATATCTTTCTAACTCACACTACAGATGTTGACGATCACACATACAGTGTTATTCAGATTTCATTTAGTTAGTAGATTAATGTACACTCACTACTGCATATAACTGTGACAGTTACTTGTACTCCTGCTTATCATTTCATTATATTGAGTTAAACTATATTTTCTTCTCTTGATTTCGAAACCTGAAACTATTAGCTCCTAAACCCAGATAAACCCCTTACCCAGTAGCTTCAACCAAACTCCCGTAGAAGGAGTGAGTTTTCCAAATCAATATATTTAGTATCTGGTTGTGATCCTCATCTTAACTATCGACCAAGCGACATAAGCGCAAATAGGCGTGCTTTAGCACCTTAAAGTGGCAAGAACCCAATACCTTTTACGTGATCTTTGATCTCAACACCTATGCTAGCTCCCTGATGCTCCCGCATACGGTCGCTCACGCATAGGACGTAACAGTACATCATGCGATATAGCTATAATATGTATTTAAAATTAGTTTTGTAACAAAAGTCGGGATATTACCATTAAGGCACGTTATTAAAAAATCAGAATTATTTGTGCAACTAATTACTATAATATTCTAAGTGCTTAATTTTCAATATACATATAGTCGCTAGGGCTCATGATCCCTGTGTAGCAGCAGAACTACCTTAAGGAGAATGCAGTGCCTGACTTTCTTTTCTATTGTCATAGCAATGTTTATGTTATGTTTTAAGTATACATGTCGAGGGTTAGGTCGACTCGAGCATATTTCAACGGCTATGGTATTCAATCTGGAGAAGCCAAACCGAGCACAGCATTTCTTTGGTAACTCTATATGATTTTCCACAATAAAGTGTTGTTGTACTTTGCAATGCAACAAGAATAGCAAATTACGTGTGCTCTTTTAATACAGTGCCTTCGACTAAGCAAGGTTTTTGGCGCAAACACCTTCAGGCCCCACTCTCGATGTCTCTATCTCTAAGCTATGCTCGTTTCATATCTGTGCATCCATCTTTCAATGCACACTACCTCGTCATAAGCGAATGTTAGGGCGGTTACATTGTGAAAAATCAGCAGTATTAATTCAAACGGTGTGTGTAGTCAAAAAATGTTGTGTCATTTACAACACTAACCACTGTGTAAAAGTATCATAATGCATGTGGTAAATGTTTTGTTTGCCTTACTTACAAAATTGTAACCCCGATTATATATAATATTATAAATCCACATCTTTTAATAACAGCAGTCAAACGCCGGACTTGGTTTATTCTTTGTTCGTGTACTTTTTTGTTCGAGGTGTAACCTCAGTTTGTATCAAACTATACTTATTAACATCCCGAAAAAAAAAACCAATCATCAATCAATCAACTACATTAGCAGTGTTGATATCTTTCTGAGTTTAATTTAAAGTAAATATGACATCAACTGAAATTGTTACATTCGACGCAACCCCCCCGGTACACCTGCTAGTGAAAGCTCAAGGACTACAACGATTGTAACTAAACTTCGATGGACGTGAGTTGCCTACTATAAGTTATAAATTATAACAATTAAGGGAAATTATTAGATTGTACATGGTACTCCACACTCTCTCTCTCATTTCCCGGAGTTACATCTACACTGCGGCACTTCAGGTGGATGAGCGGAAAGAAAGAGAGATCACGACAGACAAGGAATGAGAACGTTTGTGAGAATAATACCGAACGGAATACCCAAAAGTGAGGTGCCTAAAAGACATTTTACCATAGCATCATGAAACAGCGCACGTCAGGACTCCTATCAACTACTTACCCCATCCCCTCGACTAACCTCACGTCCAAGACGATTCGGTTAACCTCTTAGGCACGGCTGAATTCTGCGCGGGGCTGTTTCTCTGTACGGCAAAATTCAACACGAATTACGTGTAAATGATACGACACTGCAATGTGTGACGGATAATGCTGTTCTTTACACGAGTACATTGGAATAAAGTGTTTAATGATTAAATTATATATTTTTCTTAAAGAGAGATGGCATCCGCGAAAGCCACTATAGTGGCGCGTCGTTCAGAGAGATAGCATCCGCGAAAGCCACTATAGTGGCGTGTCGTACAGAAAGATGGCATCCGCGAAGCCACTATAGTAGCGCATAGTGCCTAAGAGGTTAATGCACTAACTCAAAGAGGAATTCGCCAATCGAAGATTTGCAATTAGACTTCTATTGATCAATCGGGTGCAACAGCTCGAATTTTGCCATAACACGGGCCCAAATTCCGAAACTTCCTGACAATGCACCAAATCCCGTCTTCCTTAGGAAAAGTTCACCGACCGTCATCAGTTACTAATTAATCCTCTGGTAGAGCAGTATCCCTTTTGAAGTCTTAAGCCGATTGTCCGCGTCAGTCTAGTGTTGTGCCGATCAAAAATACCTTAGGACCTATTTTGATCTAGCTTACCTTAGGGCCAAGCGAAAAGTGCATCTCCTCAGTGCCGGGTGTACACGCGAAAAGAACTCAATTCTTAGCATTTCGTTGAAGAAATTCATCTAGTACGAGGGTCCACCTTAGCACTAGACCAAGAATCTCCTTTCAGCAATTCAACCTTACCATCGTCTACAACCTCTTTACGCTCTCACTCTGTCTCTTTTTGCTCATCCACCGATAAATAACTCACGCCACCTGATTCTACACATATATTATTGCAAACCAAAACTACACAAGCTAACGATCACACATATACTATCGTCCAATATCATATTGTTTGTGTAAATTCACATAATCTTTCTCTGACACAAGGATTGTATCATTTAAATTGTATTCCAAATTGATTGTTTCATTATATAATGTTAAACTATACCTTTCCTTTACGATTTTGAGACCTAACCCATCACCATACAGCCCCAAGTCCAAATAAGAACTTTATTCATCATTAGTAACAACATCTCATGTAGAACAAGTGAGTCTGTTAAATTAATTACATCTATCATTTGCTTGTGATCCTCATCAGAGGTATTGACCAAGGAACAGGACGCAAGTAGGCGTGCTTTAACACCTTAAAGTATGGTTAGAACCCAATACCTTTTACATGATCTTTGATCGCAACACTTATGCTAGCCCCCTGATGCTCCCGCAAACGGTCGCTCACGCATAGGACCTAACAAAATAATGAATCCCCATTAATAACATAATGCGTTTGATATTACATCGTTAAGGCTTCACGAAATATGCTACCGTATTATTTATTCCACCAGATATAGAAAATCTAATTTTATTCGACATTTCACAACTCTAGTACTAAAATCACAGAGTCGTTAAATCTTACCATCATATTGATCAAATAAGGGCATTTTACGACATCTATTACCTAACTAGCACGCGTAGAATTTTAAAGTTACATCCAAAATCGAATCTCAATAGTGAAGTTTGAATCATATACACCTCTCAATGATAAACCATTTATTGCGAATCGTATCAAACGAGGCATAATTAACCGACAATTTATTCATAAAATATAAAGTATAAGAACGAAATGCGCCGTTTGATCCATGTTTCTGCAGTGTAGCAAGACACTATACTTTTTCAGTTATCTTATGTTATGTCATGTTGTAAAAAATAGCAATATAGTACATTAGTTGAGAATACAAAATGTGGAATAGATAATATAGTGTATAACAAGTCATACCTGATAATATATTTCAAACAAGGATCCGTCTCTGCCGCCAAGAAATATTCTACCGGTGCTTGTGTTCGCTATGGTTGTAATAGCTATACCGTCGGTAGGTACAGTAAAAATTGGTTCTGGTACTAATTGCATTTCTCCAAGTGAATCTAGTATAACACGAAAATTAGTTGTTGATTAATGCATTAAGTGAACATATGAAAAAATTACTTTCATGTACATACAATATTTCTTTATATTGATGTCCATCTAATTCTATTAAATTTTCAATGCAGTAAAAATCATGCGAATGTCATTTGACACACCGCCCAAGGGCTCGTTCAGACCGAAAGCAGCGGGAAGCGAAAAGCGAGCGGCAAGCAGCTTGAAACTCTACAATAGAATTGTACCTCCTTCCAACGTATGTACATACATACGCACAGACATATTGTGATTGATATGTTAAATTGTAACAATGGAGACTACATGCATGTAACATACAACAAGGCTTCACCACGGGCTATAGACATTTCGTCTGAGACCGAATTCAAAGTTTATTCCAAACATGAACTATGACGTGAAGTAGAATTGCCATAATCTATTAACTATGTCGCTGCTATGAAAAGTTGAACGTTGTTCAACTTTCCAAAATCGCAATCCACGCATTGGAATCTACTTAGTAATGAAGTTATGTTTTAAGAGAAATTATGTATTACTATTTTTAATGTAGTATACTTGACTCCATACACTTAATGAAGGTAAAATAACTTATTTCTTCGTATTTTCATATGACTAGCTAACATAAAAAGGCAAAAAATGTATTTTCACAGCTAAGATTCCGCTGCTCGCTTCTCGCTTCCCGCTGCTTTCGGTCTGAATGAGCCCTAAGATCTACAAAGTATACAGTTCTTAGAGTTTGATCGTATGTAACAAGCATTTCAGAAGAGTTATTTTTCTTTTTCTACGACATTCAATAGTTCCCTAGCCGTTACATTTGACTCATGGATTGACTGTAAATATAGGATACTAATGATAACAAAATAGATAAACAACTCATAATAAAATCTTTCGGAATACGGTGTATTTTTCAAAGCGGGATAACATTGAAGCGAGTTAAATGAATATAACAATATATTCGAATGTACTATACGTATAATTATATTAAAAATGATTACCGTTTTCATTATCAGATAAAATGACCCCAAGAACAGTAATTTCAACAGTCGTCGTAAGTATAAGCAAATATTTCACGTAGCTTTGAAATATTCCTGGTTTTGGCTTTACTAGCCCCACGCTTATAATGGTTTCATTTAATCCATCGAAGTATGCTACGTCCGATCTAGAAATAGTTCAGCGAAACAAACGTAAATTATACAATACAACCGTTTTTACAGAGATGCAATGGTAAAATATATCATAACATATGTTACATATAGCCTGCATGTTTATTATCAACTGAAGTAGTAATTAATAGGCAAATAATTAATAAATTTTAAGAAGCCACATAAACAGAATCTAATGAGTGTTAATACTTTTAAAAAAAAATTGTAAATTGAAGTAAAACGTGCAATGACTAATGTGGTAAATAATAATAAATGGGCCGCGACATTTTGTCCAGTTCAACTCAACACTATAAATCAAAAAATCGATTTTTTTAAATTAAATTTTCTGAAAGTTCGACATCTTGAAATTAAATTGAAATTCCAAATCAAAATTTTCAAAAAATGGCGGAAATCCAGAATTAAAATTTAAGCAAGCCGTAGCCGTTGAACAAAGCAAGCCACTAGGATTTGGAGCAGATTTAAAACTGTTTCAAACTTTAAACGCGATTTTCCACAAACATGGTTTTCGAAATCAGTGAGCCTGAGATTTCGAAAACATCTCGACCGATTTAGTTCAAATTTGCACACGATATTTTGAATTGCTTTCAGCCTTTTCTGACAAACGCGCATTATTTTTTTATTATTACTTCTTTATTAAAAATAGACATGTCGAAGTTTTTGGTGAAAACTCGAAAATCAATTTAGAGCAGTCACAGTTTTGTGAATAACTATTTTTTAATATTTTTTATTTATAAAAAGAGTGTACTATTAGTCATTAGGAATCCGTCTTGTTTTTTGTTTTAGAAGAACCCGTATTTAACATATGTTTCTCACTGCCAAGTATGTTTTTGGCGGCACATTCTATCCATGCGGACGGCTACCACTGGCTTAATATTAGAATTGTTTAATTGAAAAAAAAAATACAATGTATACCTTGAGTTATGTACTTTATACGGGGTAAATCCCCATTTCAAAACTATAAATGGTTTCAACAACGAAAAATGCTGAAAAATAACCCTTTTTCCCGCCGTCTAGACTAACATGCCCCCTTTACCCTTAATTACAGAAATCTCACATTACAAGGTGAAGTCTATGAGACCTAAACCTTTAGAACTCGTTTGCAGATTAGATGTAATCATCCTATTTCTCTCACTTAAACAGCAACAACATTGCAATGTAAATTCATTAACGTGCGTCGAATAATACTGCTTCTCATCATGCTCGTTTAAAGAATCTGACTTCCTTTTACATTGTTCTATATCAAATTTCCTCTTGCGTGTCGCTTTGGCTTGTTGCCTTTGATACGTAACAATAGCTTCTGAAGAAGCGAATAAATTTTACTATCGTCCAAGAAATGTATAATTGCAAGAATTATGTCTCTAACTACAATATTTAACAAATTAGCTATCTAAAAGGTACAAAAACACAAATTCTTACTCGTTTTCGAAAGACCAAACGTAGATATCGCTGTCGATGGTAAGCCAGGCTTTAGAAATGTCTATAAACAATCCCATCATACAGTGGCATTGCATATCTATATATTTTATTAAGGATTATACTTCTAAGAATATATTTCATATCTAGCATTTATTGTTTCAGTGGGAATGTTGTATCATGAGGTACAAATTCAGTATAAATTATAAATTATTAACTAATATAATGAAGGTTTTATATAGTTTATTAATGAAATACATTTTTAGTTAGTTTCAATATTTAAAAAAAAAAGGATACGGCCAAAATGTTCCATTACTTCAGATGGTAAGGGAATTTTCCCACGCATTCTCATTTGATTAATATGTGACAAACTTAAGGCTCCTCCGTTCAAATTTGGATAATCATGATCATCCAATCCGCTGACAGTTGGGCCACCTGTGTATTAATAGTTAGCATAAAATATAGAATATTTCATAAAACAATGTAAAACCGTCAAGATATAAAATTACATAATGCATACAAAGTTACGTTATGTAAAATAAATCATGTATAGTATATAATTGGGCCTCATCTCCGCGTTAATTTCTTCGTGCAATCTATATGTAATTTTCTATTTACTGGACTGGAGTGTCCCTTCAAAGGAAAAGTATATGTAACATTAAAAACAGTAGCCTCCCGTTAAATCCATGTACAATAAGTGAGCACTTTAGTCTCCTCTGCACGTTACTCTTTCTCCTCTACTGCATCCAATTCCCACTCATGCGCATTTTGTTTCCCTTCTAAGCTGCACGCTCATCCTAACAATACTTCCAGCATATACAGGGTGTCCCATGAGACACTGCAATATCTCGAAAACAAGGACTTTTTGGAAAAAATGTTTGAAACAAAAGTGGTCGGGCTCGAAGGGGGTCATCTAGTGAGATACCTGAATTTTTGGCCTGGGGCCTGTGTTGGACCCTATGAGGTCCAAGTCCTTTTTTTTTAAATGAGAACCCCTATTTTTGATTGCAGATTCGTGTTGTATGAAAAAAATAAATAAGTTTTATTCTTGATCATTTTTTGTTAAACCCTCTGCAACAAACGTAAAAAGGCCCTCGAAGTTGAGCTTTGAGATACGTTACAAGTTTCGGTTTTTTGATAGTAATAATAGTAATATGGACTGGCGATTTCATAATCTGACTAAATTGAAGCTACAGGGTGTTAATCCTGCCAATTAGGACAACATCAATCCCCCAAAAAACACTTACGTGTAAAAAACTACGCCAAGTACAGGATTGCTGTGAATTCCTCTAACAAAAAGTATTGATATCACATTATTGAAGCCAAGTACATAAGTCACTACATGTTTTCCTATTATATGATCTAGCACTGGCCCATCATTTTAATTATATTTTCAATATTTCCTATAACTTTTACGCTACTCTTTTATGTTACTACTGCTTCCCGTATTTAATTATGATTTAATGGTGATTTAATAATTAATAAAACTTTAGGTGATTCCTTATCGAGTACTACTTGGCGGGTCCGTGTAAAGAATTCCAAAGTACTTACTTTGCACGTGCTCATAGTATTCTAATGCTGTATAAATTGATTTTTCTTAGAAACACAAAAATATATATAAATTTGAAAGAAAAGTATATTCTTAAGTGTAGAATGAAATTCATTTAGAAAGATGGTGAGTCATTTAGGAATTTCGTAAGCTTTCTACCGTGATAATCATAGACTGGACTTCCACGCCCAACTCTCAGATACAAGAAACTACGGAGCGGAACACCTGGACACCCTGGACTTCGACGCCCGACACCTAGAT